TTTTTTTTCAAATTTGTATATGCCATTCTTCTCCCGCTACAACCCACAGAGCTGTGAGACACGCCTCAGGGTAAAACACGTTGGGCTGCTGGTCGTGTTATTCGTGGTCTCTCTGTAGGACTTGGAGAAAGCACTGGTGGAGAAGGTTGAGAAACTGCGAAAAGTGTTGGCTACTTTAGAACTTCAAATTCGAGATTTACTCCCTGAGGTACGTGGCAAGGATGAAGTGTGGAATTTACACTCGATCGGCTTCAGAGGGAAGGAGCTGCGCAGACACTAGCTGGTAGGTGTTGCCAGATTCCTAGGCAGATGAAAGCATATGATCATCTCGCCATGCAGTGTCGGCTCCTGTATGAGCGCATGGCTGAGGTGAACGACTCGAAGGTACTAAGGGAGGGTCTACTGAGGAGGTATGCTGGTCTCAGGCGTGTCCGTCGGACCTAGTTGGTGTAGTTGGCACTATTGTATACGCGGCTGAGGTGTTGTTAGACTTGCCGGGTAGTGAGCAGCTCGTAGAGGTTCGGCGTCAACTGGGCCTCAAGTTTGGCGAGAAGTTCTGTAAGCCATTTCATGATAGTTGGACACGTGGCATTGACCAAAACTTTGTTGGTAATATGGGAGCGTTATCTCTATGAGAAATAATGAGCGTGCTGTTGGTCAGCTCTTGTGGCGGTGTATCAGCCCAAACGATATGAGGTGTTTGATGTTATCGAGAGAATAGCTGTTGAGAACAAGGTGGGCATGGTCCTGTGACGAGGCCTTTTGTGAGGTCTAGTAGATGTGTTGGTGACAATATGGAAATTGTGAGAAAATTTTGGGAAATCGTTACAGGTTCCTGTACATTTCTTTCCGAATTCGAGGGTAAATTTATATAACTCTTTGGCTCAGCTGAGGAAAGCGAACATATATCCCAACACTGGTGGTGCATTCCTAGATTCTGTGGTTGCGGCCAGTAGATAGCAAGCGACCACCGGACATGTCAGCTCGTGTACGGGCTTCGATTTGTGAGTGTTACGAGTGTCGGCGTGCATGGACAGTTGGGTCGTCGTTAGATAACTCTGCTGGCTCTCCATCGCTTGTGGCTGGGGACTTGCCGGATGATGGCAAATCGGAGACTATCACCTATAGGAGGTCGATTGTGAAGCAGAGTAATGCCTTGGTACTGGTGGAATTCTATCGTGATGAAATTTCTGGTCAGATCTCGATGGGGACGAAACCCCGCCTGCATCACGCTTCGCTCCGCCTCTACCCTCACATTTGAAAAAACGAGTATCGAATTCTACCACTTCTCTGCCCAACGACACGCCCCGCAGATCTACTAGTAGTTCGACTACCACCACGCACACACCTGTGAAGTCGGACGAGTGCGGCTTGGACGCGACAGCTACGCCTCGTCTGCAAGGGTATCCATCTGGTTATGATGTTCCTGTTACCGCTGATGATATTGCCTATGAAGAACTGCGTATACGGTTGGAACGAATACGCAGGGGCTCATAGAGTTTCTCTTGAGTATTTCACCGCATATTGTTAGTATTTATAGCCACTCCTGTTGGAAGGCAGTAGCATCGTCCATGTGTGAATCTGAAGACTAAGCCAGTTTGGAGCATATCGGTTAGTGTTGGTGTTGGGGTTGGCACTGCTCGCTCTCCTCAGCTGTTCTCAGGAGTTTCCTCATTTATTACGAACTCGAGAGGAAGGGTATAAAAACCCCGCGAAAAATCTCTACGAAATTCCTCGGGATTTTCAGACTGTCAACAACAAATGTATTCATCCATGTGCGTATCTGTCCACGCTGATGGTGATGCCTGAAAAACGTCGAAGGTTAGAGCCTTTAATGAATCAATGAATCATTCGGTTCCAGTGATGATGCATAAATCATTCGTAGTTCGAATCTCGCATAATGTAAATCCACAATTGATGCTCTCAGTCTGACTTTGATTTATCCCGACAATAATTATCAGCCCGTGGGCAAGTGTCTTGGGTATGATGACGATGAGTAGTTTCGATGTGGTTGGAAATTTCTTATTGCGTTTGCATCGTCCATGAAGGTTTGTTACGTCCCTTCTCGCAGTAGTTTTGGCAATTTCTGAAACCATCATGGCCCGTCGATATGATAGTCGTACTACTACTTTCTCACCAGAGGGAAGGCTCTATCAGGTAGCACTCGAGGTGTTCGGAAGTATGACGGTTTATTATCGATCAGGTGGAGTATGCGATGGAGGCGATCAACAATGCTGGCTCAACAGTAGGAGTACTCGGAAAGCAGTGTGTGATCCTGGCCGGCGAGAAGAAGACCATCAGGTAGGAGGCTGTTGCGGTTGCCGTTGTTGGTGTTGGTTGACCTTGCGCGATCAAAGTCTCAAAGAATTAGAGCGGTTGTAAAATTGAATCTCTTGAAGCGAACTGATGATCGTAAAAATTTTGGCGAAGCGAGATAGATCGTGACGACCAATAATAAGTGCGTGCGTACAGTTTCTGAAGGCAGTTGAGAATCGTCGATTTGTGGCAGTAAACTCCTAGAGTCGGGTAAAGCAAG